CTCTACAATCCTAAATTTTTGTCAAACTATGTAGCTTTTCATGCTTTCAAAGAATATRAATGTCATATTTTGATACGAGAAAATAGAAATTGTGATGAAGTAACTGAAACCCAAGAATATGAGAGCTGCATAACATGTAACCTGAGTATCAGGCCTTCGAGACCTTCGAGATTCTTGTGTCATTCTAGCCTGAGTATCAGGCTCTTTCGAAGGGGATTTGGAGCCTGATACTCATACTCAGGCTAGCGTCATTCATTTTCGTACGAGTCTCAGCAGGTCTTCGGGTTGGATTTAAACACAACTCGCTAGGCGATATTTCATGGTGTAGATAGCGAATGGCAATTGAGCGGTTTTGAAAACATTCCTTTTATCTTATACAGCTGGCGAATAATAAGAAATCTATACGATGGCATACAATACCGAAGAGGTCATCAAGAAAGTTGGCAGTTTCGGCCGTTACCAGCTCAGGATATGCGCAATTCTCGGCTACTCCATGATTTTTAGTACCTTTGTACTCTTAGTGATGACGTTCAGTACAGCTGARCCTGCGTGGAGATGTGCAGTGAATTCCACATCTTGCACCTTGAATGGAACGTATAAAGCTGGAGACAAACTTTACGAATATTGTTGTAATATTCCTAGACGCGATTGGGAGTTCGTTGTCGGAGATGGATTCAACAGTATTGTTACAGAGGTTTGATTTTTTGCTGTGTTGCTTATGATGACAACAGTGAGACAATAATAATAATAACAATAATAATGATGATGATGACGTATATTTATAGTGATGATCGTAACAATGATGATGTATGATAATAGTGATGCTGATGAATTTCCACTTATGACGTCATGCAATGTTAGGCGAGTTGCACTTAAAAGTACAAAATGAAGCTAAGTTGTCTTTCATGCAGTTTTGCAAAAAGAATTATTTATATTTTCCCATGCAGGTCTTAGTAAATACTCAGGATGAAGGCATCATAGTCTTATTTAATGTTTTTTTAAAGTATTTTCGACAATGGATACTAATAATTTCGTAAAGAAAGTTGTAAACAATTTTCGTCCTATAGATATATATTTCGATACATTTACCAATACCATGATGCACTTGGACAACATAAATATGACGTCATTTACAGTGGAAAGGATCATTAGAACAAATGACCAACAAAAATGTTTGACTTGATTTCGACGACGATTATTATGTGGTTGATTCAATCGTTTATTTTCATCTATTATTTACATTTCAACTAACCTGTCAATTATTTTCTTATAACCGATACCTTGATTATTCTGTTTTCACCAGTGGAACCTCGTGTGTGACATGGCTGTATATGTTAGCTTGGTAAATTCTCTAACCTTCATATTGTGGATTTTTGGGAGCATGCTAGCAAGTATACTAAGCGACAAATACGGCAGAAAGACAATTGCTTTCCCTTTTTGCATGCTGGTCTTTTCTTGTGGATTTGCATCTGCTTTCGCAAAGCAATATTGGGTTTTTGCTCTCCTTAGAGGTCTTATTGGAGTTGGCATAGGTAAACTGAATATAAATGATACAAAACAAATWGTCAAAAATCCAAGGCGACTGTTAAATTGTTGACCAAGTACACAATGTTTTGATGTTTATTTACTTATGCATACATTTCCAAACTTCATTAAACCCTTTCACTCGCATCCCTTATTAAAATGTTGTGTAGTCTCCCTCGCAGCCTCCCTTTTTGCCAGGCTTCCTGCCCCTCCCAAAAAGAAGGAAGGGACAGGAAGCCCAACAAAAGGGGAGGCTGCGAAGAAGAAAAATTGAGTTCAGTTTTCTGGTTTTCTATTACCATGGTATCGAACTGATTTCTAATTCATCAAACAAAAATGCCTTTT